AAATCAGTAGAATATGCAAAGTACAACATAATAATCTAACGCTGTCTGTTCTCCTTGCCAGATGCTTCGAGGTTGCAAACTTGTAATACACCAAGACTCCAGTTGTTTCTGAAAGTCGTATCTCTCATAATACTACTCCATACACCGTGCGCGCGTTCTTCGGCTTTGTCCCGCTCATATCTGTATAAACCCACTTCACAAGACTTCATAATTATACCCGGCTGCTTGTGGACCCTGTTTCTCAAGCAACTCGTTCCCATGGTTATCGCAAGGACCACCAACCACGATTTTTATGGGAAAATGGCTGAACGATGTCTGCACAGGCCGTTAGTAGGAGCTACATCAGATAAGGGGGCGCAATGTTGTTAGATGTACATTATGCAGCTTTCAGTTGTGTGAATAGAAAGTTCGCCCGAGGTCAGCGCTCACGCAGCCTGTGATCTTCATGTTCGGGGTTCAATATTGGTAGTTGCTCGCTGAATTCCTAAGGTGGAGAGCTGTGTTCTCTTTCGATTATGTCCTCACGTCCAAGGGGCCGCGTTCCGTCATTCAGAACCATAGCCTCGCGATGCTGACGTCGAAGCCTTTGCTCTTCAGCAGAATGTTCTCTTGTTCGCCGGGCTTGATGCTCCACGGGCTCATCTCCAAGATCATCATTCATATCCATGATGAGACCAGGAAGACCAGGCAGTTCCGGGAGTTCCTCGAGTTCCTGCATGCGCTGCCTTCCACTGCTACTGCCCTTGTCAATTAGACCTGTTTCTTCCAACGCTAGGATCCCCCTTCTACAATGCTTTATTCGATTCACGATATCGACAATTCGGTTGTTTTTTAGATCCATGTAACTCTTGAAGTTGCGACGCCTCTCTTCCGGGGCATGACCCCATGCTTGTTTGGCAAGCCACTTCTCGACAAATTTCGCCTTAATAAGTCTGTTGGCGCCGTATTTGTTGACCAGTTCGAGAATGAACATGAGACAGAATCTTTCGGCCATATCGCGAAGATAATACTCATCCCAATGGTTATTGCTAAGATCCGGACGCTCGACGTCATCCAGGCTTAATTCCAAGGACCTCACCAAAGCAGAGTAAGCCTTTGGGTCGTTCAGCTTTGATAATCCTTCCAGACCTGTAATCGTCAGCACGAATGATTCCCCAAAACACTATGGGACCAGGCAAAACTTACCAATAGTCTGCCCAGTAAGCAAAGCAAGTGCTCGAAGACACTTCATCCGCTCATCATAGTCCGTCCGTGTAATCCCGTACAGCAGGTACATGGTCGTGTCTTCATCGTTGACGGCTCTGTCACAAAGAATCTTAATTGCAATTTCCCTGATGGAGTAATTCGGATGATCCAGGAGCTTTTCCAAGGTATCGAGCTGAAGGGCATCCTCGGTATCTTGTGTGATGTATTGCGTCTTGGGCTCCGTTGGTGGGATTTCATTCTCGTCTCGAATTAAAGTGAGGACTGTAATCATGGTGCTCACCACGCCGAATGTGGCCAGCCCAATGGTCACTAATACTACCCGCTCATCGCGTACAAATGATACAAAATCATGTAGCCAGCCCATTCTGCATTGTATAACTCATAAGAGGTAAAAAATCATTCTCTTAAGTACTGCGTTGATCTGACGTCGTTTCAACCGCGGGAGGCAGCGCTTGACAACACCGCGGATTCTGCCGACTCTCACCGCCAAAACAGGAACCTTAATCAGGCTTAGATTGCGTCACTCAAGTGGACCTTCGCAACGATTCGCGTTATCGATAAGACGATATCAAAAAATTTAGCTACTTCGATCTGCTCATGCAGGACAAACAAGTCAACCAAAAAAAAACCTGGCGAGGTCGACCTTCAATCGCAATGGCTGGCTCTCAACTCAAGCGCCTAAAGGCGTCTTTGAGAGAACAAGGTATTACCGGCCCTCAAAAATCCAAAAAGCAGAGGCGCAAGCTAGCGCAGGATGACCGCTCTCGTAACGAGAAACGACTACAGCGAGGGGTGATCTTGGGGGGCATTCGAGAGCAATTCAATCCATTTGACCTCAAACATGCTGCGCGAGGGCCAAAGTTTGAGGTTACTACCAATAGACCGACTATAAATGCCTCCATTAAGGGTCGTCCTGGTCTAGCTAAAGCTGCCAGCGAGGAAAAGGTAGGATTGCCCTCTCACGTTTCTATAATGTTTCTAACGCCTTATTGCAGCGTCGGGAAACCCTTCTAGTAGACATGCAACGTCGCAACAAAGTCGGAGGCATCCTTGATCGACGATTTGGTGAAAATGACCCTACAATGGCACCGGAGGAGAAGATGTTGGAACGATTTGCTCGAGAGAAGCAACGAGCCCACAAGAAAAATGCCATGTTTGACCTGGAGGACGACGAGCCGATGGAGGGTCTAACACACATGGGACAATCGTTGGCATTCGAAGACGAAGCTCCCGTGGACGACTTCCAGGAGGACGACCTTGAAGGAGATGACAGTGGTGACGATACCCGCGAGAAGCGACTAAAACGCTTGCGTGCCATTATCTCGGCAGAGAATGAGGACGAGAATGAAGATGGGCAGCCAGAGCGCAAGAAGACGAAAAAGGAGGTAATGGAGGAAGTCATCGCAAAATCTAAACTCCACAAATATGAAAGACAAGCAGCCAAGGAAGACGACGACGACCTTCGAGTTCAGCTTGATGGAGAGCTTTCAGACATCCGGAAGCTCTTATTATCTGGTCTTAATGGCGCTAAGCGGCAAGGAAATGATGCAGCCCCGATATCCACAATTGCAGGCGTCGACAGGGACACCTTTGAGAAGAATTTCGATGTCCAGGTTAAGAAATTAGCTCTAGACAAGAGGGCAAAACCATCCGATCGTACCAAGACAGAGGAAGAGCAGGCAGAAGAAGAGTCCAGAAAGCTCAGGAAGCTTGAGGAGAAGCGTCAAAAGCGAATGATGGGCGAGGAAGTATCCGACAGCGACGAATCAGATGAATCAGAAGAAGAGAAAAGCGGCAACGAGAAAGATGATATGGAGATTGCCGACGATGACGAGGATTTTGGTCTCGGTTACGGTATCAAAACACGACCAACGGCAACAGATCTGGGTTTCGATGATGAAGATGACTTTTTAATTGAGGATGATTTGGTGGCTAGTGGATCCGACTTGGAGCTGTTGGAGAATGACGAGGACGAAGATGAGAGTGAAGAGGACGATGAGGACAGCGCCGCAGATGATGAGGATGAGGATGACGAATTTACAAAAGGTCTGTTGAATGATGAGGAGGCCAGGAATCCCATTTTCAAAGCAGACTCGTCTACGTCTGCCTCCAAAGACAACGACGACCACGGCCTACCGTTTACGTTCCCTTGTCCTCAGACATGTGCGGAGTTTGTATCCATCACCAAGCCTTATCCACACGTCCATCTGCCACGAATTGTTCAACGAATCCGAGCCCTGCACCATCCCAAGCTTGATAGCAAAAACAAGGAAAAACTGGCAGCCTTTTCTGTTGCGCTGGTTGACTTTATCGTCTCCCCTTGGGATACGGAAACATCACCGCCATTTTCAGTTCTAGAGAACCTAATTCGCCACATTCACTCCCTCTCGAAAACATTTCCCCTGGAGATTGCCCAGCGATTCAGAGATCATCTTGACGAGATTGGCGAGAACCGTCCCGTAGCATTACTGCCTTCTGATCTGATACTCCTTACAGCAATTGGGACTATTTTCCCAACGTCTGATCATTTCCACCAAGTCGTTACCCCGTCAATGCTTACGATTACTCGATACCTTGGACAAAAGGTGCCGCAAGACTTGGTAGACCATGCCACAGGAACCTACCTCTCAATTTTGGCGCTGCAGTATCAACAGCTGTCCAAGAGATATGTTCCGGAGGTTATCAACTTTACTTTGAACACCATCTGTGCTCTTGCGCCAGTGGCATCAACACGATTAGGGCGTTTCCCGCTACATGAACCTTCGGCGGCTAGTCGATGCCAGAAGGCGGCAGCTGTTGAGCCAAAACGCCTGAAATTTTCCGACTGCGTACTGAGAGAGCTGAAGCGTGATGAAGCTACAGGTCTCAAAGTTGCGTTGTTGGATACATCGATGCAAATTATCGACGCGGCCGCAGATATGTGGACTGGGAAAAGCTCATTTTTGGAAACATTTGACCAAGGTATCGATTTGTTGAAGCACCTAAAGGCAAAGACTTGCCGCACACATTTGCCTGCAGCGCTTTCCAGCAGAGCGGAGAAGCTTGAGGAAAAGCTGAAGCGCATGTCGACGGTTTCCCAGCTCTCTCGCCGGAACTTGGAGTTGCACCACCACAAGCCGTTGGCAATCAAGACCTATATACCCAAGTTCGAGGATACGTTCGATCCAGACAAGCACTACGATCCCGACCGCGAGAGGGCCGAGCTGGCCAAGCTCAAGGCCGAACACAAGAAGGAGCGCAAGGGCGCCATGCGGGAGCTCAGGAAGGATGCCAACTTCATGGCCAGGGAGAAGCTGCGCGTCAAGAAGGCCAAGGACGAGGCGTACGAGAAGAAGTACAAGAGGCTCATTGCGGAGATCCAGAACGAGGAGGGAAGAGAGGCGAATGCGTACGAGAGGGAGACAAAAGCACGGAAGCGGGCGAATGGTCGCAAGTAGATGTGGTCGTTTTATTATCAGTGAAATATACTGGACTAATTATTGGTCGAATTGTTTAGAACTCCTTGATTGCCCGCCCACATTTATACTTTACCATGAGAACTGTTCGAGAATCTGCAATTTGTCACTATGTCCTGTAATACTAGCCTTGGCAGGTGAATAACCACAGTTGCATCATGTAAGACACTTGCACAATTGATTGAAAAGAATCATGACATCGAGTAAATGGGCTACAGGTTAGGCAAATGGAATTCAGGAGTTCAATAATCCCCCACCTCAAAACTTTTCACAGAACCTACAAATGCGGGGTAGCCCTTATAGTATCAAACAATCCACCCATCTTCCATCGAGTAGAAAAGCAATTTGGCGCAGTGGAAGCGCGGTATGTCTCCCAGTGACTCCACTCAAAAATCGAACATTCAAGCTAACTTTCTACAGCCGGGCTCATAACCCGGAGGTCACACGATCGAAACGTGTAATTGCTACTCCATATATTTTTTTGGGTCTTTTTTTTGATTTGATCATTTTTCTCTTCTTCTTCTTCTTCTTTTTACTTCGGGTCATTAATGGAATATTATGATGATATCTACTACACGAGGCAGACGAGTGATTATTACGATGACATGTGAATTTCTATTTTAGGCAAGAAGAGAGTGAGGTCGGGTTCTTTCCAAGATGATGACCTCTTTGCATATAGATAGATGATAGCATTTGCCATTTTTTGGGGGGCAATTTAGCCACTGAAAGGTGGTGAGGCACCCAAGTCACTACCAGCATCAAGTTTGCGAGTACAGAGTTCAATGGGTCAAAAATGTGCAAGATATAAAGTAACCAGTATCTACGCAGTAAGGGCAGGTAGAAGAAGCAAGGCAAATACGGCTGGCTATATCTGTGATACTCTGGAGACTTGGTATTATCTATCTATCTATCTATATATATATAAAGAAATGTATTGGCTCACTACTTCATAACGCTTTTTTTTTTTGCAAAGACTCCCCCAACTCCCAACTCCAGCTTCCCATCGCTTTTACCCGCCATTCGCTCTCAAGTAACATCCCTCCATCCATCCATTCATCTATTCATCCAGAAGGAAGAGGAGGGGGAGGGGGAGGGGGCCGGCCAATGAACGAGACGCCTTAAAAGTATCCTAGGTTCGAGCCGTCAAGCGCCGGACTGCCGTCTCAGCTCCTTGCCCGTTCCCCAGCACGACGCCACGGGTCCCGCGGTGCCATATCCACCACCTCGGTCGCCTGCTATTCATGAGGTCATCGTACCAGACGTCCAGCGCGTCGTGATCCAGCAAGGTATAATTCCGCCTGACCATCGCGACCTGCTCGCCGTGTACGCGATGGTAGTGCTCCGCTAGGCCGGCCGTCGAAAAAAACCCTGAGACCGGCCACAGAGCACGGAATTCCGGTTTCGATACCGGCAGTAGATCTCGCCCTGCATGAGGACAATATCCCCGCGGCTGTTTTGCTGTGGCGAGGGCAGTACATCGGCGCTGATGCGTCCCTTATCCACGTATGCGCGGTATGATGGCCTGCGCTTGAACTTGATGAATCCATCTGTGGCCATTATCAAGGAGGAGAAGAAGAAGAAGAAGAAGAAGAAGAAGAAAAGGAGAGAAAGTAGAATGTTTCTTTAAATGTGAGCAAGTTTCTGATCGAGACGTTGGTCTGTATTTGGATATTGGTGATTTTATCTTGAGTTGTTGATGTTGACGTTGATGTCAGGTAGTCTTGACGTTGAGAAGCTGACTGTGGTTGAACCTCGATGGATCCTTGGAATAGGAGTCAATTGCTATTTCCTCCCGCAACGTTGTCCATTGTAACTGGAAGTTGTCAGTGGGGAGTTGCAACTCTTGGAAGTTTAACGACTGCCCAATTCGCTTCGAGAGGTTGTAGTGCCTGTTCTGATAAAGCTGATGGGGAGGGAATGCGGTTGCTTTCTGTTGAGGAGCCCATTATGCGCATCTGTTAATTAGTAGAGAGCATCCCCCTCCAACAAACAGATGTATGTATGTATATCTGTCTGTCTGTCTCGTAAAACCAACCGGAAATGTCCTGCTTTCGTATATTCAGGGGATGCGGAATATGAAGCGCACTTTTATTTATTTTTCCAACACATCTATGCCTTCACCATGACATACATAAGCTCATACATTATCATATCATTTCTCATCCAAGCCCCAGTCCAAACACCAGCTTTTTGTTTACCGCTTCTTGGTCTTTCTCTTGCTCGCCTTGCCTCCTCCCTGGGCTCCGGTAGCCTTGGCTTTGCTCAGGGAGTCTGTGCTCTTATCAACCAACTCAAAGTCCTCGCCAGCAGAGTCAGAGCTTGGCGTGGCCTGCGGGGCATCCGATTCGTCCTCGACTTCGGCATACTCCACCTCCTCGCCGCCCGCGTTGCCCTTGCTTAAGAAACGACCGATGGAGACATGGAAGAGCCAAACAGGCACACGCACAATAGCCGTATCCTTGAGTGTAGGCTGAAGAAGTTCATTGGGCTGGAAAAAAATGATATTAGCGCTGGGAATATCAATAGCAACGAGCTCACACAACTTACATCAAGCAAGTACTCGTTAACGTTGCCCTCCTCATCCTCCTCCTCAAGGAAGACATCGCCTTGAGAGTCAACAATTAGAATCTTTCCATTTTGTGCGACGACCCTCTTGCGCACGCCAGTAGGTGCCGCGGAAGGCTCCCGAGATGAGGTCTTGGACGAAGCAGGAGCCTTGCGGGACTTCTTGGGCGCACGACCATCCTCCTTTCTAGATTCTTTCTCTTGCATGCGTCTCTGTCTTCGATTCATAGCCTGTGGTGGCCCGGCCTCCTCCTCTTCCTCGGGGACAGGGGCTGGCGGGGGCGGGGGCGCAACATCAACGTTGGGAACACCAGCACTGTTGCCCCAGGCAGTGTTCCTTGCGAACGTGACATAGCGCTCGACAAACTCCTTTTGACGTTTCCAGTTCATGAACAGGATGAGATAGTGAATTCCTCCACCTACGACAGCAAACAGGCCAATCATGACAGTGCCCAAGCCAGGTCGATAGCGATTGTAGTAGTAATCGGTGCCCTTCCAGAGAGGGAAGCCATTGGAGAGGAAGTGGTCGTAGCGGTCTCGAGAGGGTCCACGGAGGATGTTGGCAATGAGGGAAAGGCGGGCCTGGCGCTCTGATGCTTCCTTGACAGCCTTTTGAACCTCAGCCTTGGTTGGCGCCTTGACGGTCTGGGGACCCTTGTTGGCCTTTGCATTTTGGACCCTTTCGTTCCTAAGCTGCTGCTTGACCTTGTCGGGATGGAGCGATCGTGACTTTTTGCGATATGCCTTGTTGATGTCGTCTTGCGAAGCGGACAAGGAGATGCCGAGGATGTCGTAAAAGGTAGCGGCGGGATCGGTCTCGTGAGCGGCGATTTCGTCACGAATGCGAAAGATTTCACGGTCTATTCATTGGTAGGTTCAGTATTAGCAATTGAGGACACATGTGAGATGAATTGGTGGGCTTTTTTTTTATTACCTTCTTTGCTCCATGCTGCAGTCAGCGGAGTCAGGAGGGATAAAATCCCAATGGCAAGATATGATATTCTCATGATTGCATAGTATAGGCCTGCTACCGACTCTCGCACGTACAAGAGTTGCGGTGTTGTTGTTTTTCAGGCTGTAAGCGAAGAGAGAAGGAAAATAAGTGGGAGGCGATTGGAAGTGCCAGTTTTTGTTAGTGTCAGCCAGCGCGCGAGGCCAGGTAAGCTTGTCAGAATGGCGAACCTACCTAGCAGGGGTTGAAACATCCATCACTTGTAGCAATTTTTGGTATAGGGTAATTCTATTACATATGGGTACCTTATGCACCATCCACATATCACATCATATGACAAGCGCTGATAGTAGTAGATATTATATCTTGTTATTCCAACTCATATCGTCTAATTTATCTAGGAAACATACTCATAGCACTCTCGCGCTATAATGATCACCCACTCCTTCAGACCCCAGAGGCTATTCTCCCACATGGTGCTGTCTGCAAGGTGCAGGCTGCCGAGGGCTCGAGCCAAGACGTGAGCCGTCATGGTGTGAACGTACACGGGGAGGATTTGCGTCCATAGGATGAGTCCGAACGTGGAGATGCAGGTGTATTTGGCGTAGATCCAGAATGGGACCAGCAGGGGTAGACCTGCGAGAAATATGGCTGCCAATTGGTCGGCTGCTGAGTGTTTGATGATGTCTCTGTCCATTGGTAATGCTTGTCTGTAGTTGAAGATGAGGAAGCCCCATGCGAGTTGACACGTGTGATCGTAAAGGATACCCCTGAAAGCGATTACTGCCAGCTGTAGGAATGTATGGCCGTCATTGTTATCATAGTAGCTCGTGCACATTTCGTCCTTTGACACATCCCTTCCCGCGCACTCGGGCGAGAAGATGAAATAAAGACCAAGGATCCAACTGTAGCGCAGTCTGGGCCTCCAGAAGAGGGCAATGAGGCCAAGGCATGAGTATACTTGGATCAGAGACAACAAACATAGGAGTGAAAGCACTATGGCAGTGTGAAAAAGAATGGTAGGGTCTTTTGAAGTTTCTGACAAGCGAGCGATGGCCTTGGCCGCAGTTCTTGGCATCTCGTGAAGCGTCATGTTATGCTGTTTGTCTTGGGTTGCTTGGGAAAGTTGGTTATCAGAGGTGATGGCTGATGGTTATAGATAACGACCGTTGATAGCGATTGGTAGAGGCAAGTAATTAGTTGTTAAAGGTGATGGATGCACTTGATAGGGCTTCGATCGATACTCGAGACTGGATGGTAGAAGGATGGAGAGAAGCGAGCAAGCATTGAGTTGGGATGTTGCATCTTTATAAATCCTGCTTTGGGGAGGAGATTGAATTATTTGACATCGATCATACTTTCGAGGCTCGCTACTGCAAACCTTACTAGGCATTCAGACTTGAGGTAGCCATCAAGGCTTGGTAACCTCTGTATGTTCGACCTTCATTTTGTATGCATTGACTTATGGCTAAGTGTTTAAATTTGTTCGCGGCAAACTACTGTTCACTAACTTTGAAATCCAATCATCAAAAAGTTAAAACAAGGCAGAATGAAACTTAGTCATACAGCTTAAAGATGCAAGGTAAGTTGGAGTTGTGAGCACTAACGAAGGATGAACGAATTCGCATTGATTCAATTCCCTATGAGAAAACTTATTTTACATGCCATCATACTCCTCCACTTCCCGGGACCGCCCGACTACACCGACCCAACTCCTAGCCTGCTCTCAATTATCCTCATACATCTTCATCAAATTGGCCTTTATGTTGGTGATTTGACTATTCCGATATCTTTCCTGGTTCTCATGTGCGACAATATCTTCCTGTAGCCGGACAATTATAGCGTTCTTTTCATTGAGCGCTGCTCTAGCTGAATCCCTGCTCATGATGAGCCCCTTGGTCTTGCGAGACGATGTGACGAGGAGTTGGTGTACGGATCGAAGAACCGATT